TCAGTAACTACCCTAGTATAGACAGTCATCAGTAGCTACCCTGCTTCCACATGTTCTCTTCTGGCTGTGTTCTGTAAAAATTAACAGAAGGAAGAAGGTGCTTCTCGGGCTAGAGAGTGAATGGAACTCAGTAGTTCTAAGCTCAGTATTTACCAAGAAAGTACCATGCATGTAATTGATGAAAAGCATAGAATTAACAATTTTGTATTGTGTACAAAAATTTGTTTCATAATTCTTCCTTTTTCTTCTCTTTAAGGCTTCTCATTTCTTCTGGGGACTCTGGGCATTGATCCAAGCCAAGTACTCCACAATTGAGTTTGATTTCCTTGGGTAAGATGATGTTGACTGGAGGTGCTCTTTGTCTCTTCTTGGTTGAACTAGTGTGTAGAAATGACAGGAGCATCACATTCCTGTTCTCAGGCAGCACTTTGAAGGCCACATCCACTTAAGCCATGTGGAAGCTTCTAGGCTGGCAAGTGCTCAGCATAGGAAGTGTCCAGTAGGTGGCGCAGCAGGCTGTGTGCACTTTGAAATCTTAAACTTGTGGAAGCAGCTGAGGGACTGCGTCAGCTCTGAGATTTCCTTCTTCTTTTCTCACTAGGTATGCCGTTGTTCGTTTTAAGCAGTACTTTAAAATGAAGCCCGAGGTCACAGCACTAAAGATGCCTGAGTAAAGAAGAGGCCTCCTTGTCCTCCAGGAGCTGAGCAGTGCTTGTGGATGTTTCCTGAGAAATTCCAAAAGCCAAGATTTGTTAACACTCATTTAATTTGGTTATCTTGCTTTACAAATTATGCCTCTAAACAACCAGTCTATTTTTAAATAGAATGATGTTAAAAATCTGCTTACTGTTGTGAGTATGCTGCAGGCTAGAGATGTGTCCATCAGTGGAAAGAGTGGAGTCGGCTTTAGCCTTTGGCAATACAGTCCATGTTACATGTGAATTATTTATTACAGATTTGACATGACTGACTGCTTTCATCTCTTCATTTGTTGGTTCAGTGTATGCAATGAGAATGTTGTAGAAATCTTTTATAAGTTTTGTTAATAGGGTTAATTTTAGAAAAACATTCTTGTTCAGTGTAACCTTTGTAAAATGAATCATTTACTCTTGACATGGCAGTCACTGCCTCGGTGGTAACTTAGGGTGTTCTAGAGATTTCTAGAGAAGTGCCCGTCGAGGAGGGAGCAAGGCAGTCCCTGTCTCTAGGGTATACTTTTTTGAATTGGAAATTGGAAATAATTCCTTTGAAGAATACAACTTAGAATTAAATTGTCTCTTTACATAGCCTGACAATATAAAATATATTTACTGTATAATCCTGGAATATAAGTATAACAATTTAATGTTAAAATCTGTATTAAGTCATGTTTTAAAATACTAGATATGGTCATTGAAGGTAATAGTCTCAGTTTTTAGAATTTACCTATCAAATTGTTTCTAACCCAGAATTTTGTTTAACTTGAGAGACTCTGTTTTTCTTCATTAAATAATAGCTTATATTGTTAGTATTTGAAACAAACATACAGAGTTCATCATACTTGGAAGCAAGGAATATCATTTAGATGCTTTCTATTCAGATTCATTCCTTAGGTTGGTTTTCTGTCTGTAGAGTCAGCAAATGATTGCTTATACATGTAATTTCAGAGTAATATTGTTAAAGCAGTTAGAAGAATCAGTAAGGAACATTTAGGTAGGTCATTGAGCTTGAATACTTAAACTCTTAACAAATAAGGAAATGTGAATTAAATAGTAGTCGTGGTAGGAGGACTTGTTTATCTTGTTTTTTGTTAGTCTAGTTTTTATTTTTGTATAGGTGGAAGAGGGAGGCAACTGTTATATGGAAGGAAGTTAGGTTTTTGAGGTAGACAAGAAGGCTTTAGTCTTTGAAGACTGAGCTTGAGCAGTCACAGCTAACTTAGATTAGGCAGACAGGCTTTGCACTTTGGTCACTTAAGTGCTTTTGTACAAAGTTGGCTCCATGGATCTGCTTATGTAAAGTATGCAATGCAGATCTAAGACATCGTCTGGTATATTGTCCACATGACTTATGTTCTCAGACAAGTGCTTTAAAATACTTGGATTGTCTCATTGTATTCAAAGCTAATAAAGTAAGTAGGAACACTTAACAGCCATGGCCATTTGAGATGGTAAATTCTAGCCACTAAATAGACTCCTAAGTATGTGTTTCTAACAGTGTTAGACCTGGATTTGGTTTCTACCTCCCCACTGTTGTAATGTTCTTTTGTTTTTACGAACCACATTACTGTAAGATCATTACAATTCTGCCGACTTCCTTGAATGGAAACAAATAATGACTAGCTCTTTTCAATGTTAAAGCAAACCTACAGAAACTGGCTTAGTGGAATTTTCATTCGTGGTTGGAACATTGTCATAGAATGATAAAGATGTGAGCCTCCTGATTCTTTGCTTTCCTTCTCTCAAAATTCAAGAGGATGTGTCATGTGAAAACACTGGAGAAGACAGTGTTTGCTAGTCTGTTCCTGTTCTTACCTGAGAGTGCTTTGAATGGAGGCTCACCATGCTACGGCTGCTGGTGGACTGCCTAGCCACCGGCTGAGACACAGTTGCCTAAGACTGCTGTGGCAGTGAATGCAGCGAGGCTTCCTGGGTCACCCTGCCAGCATGTAAGAGATCTTGGGAAAAGACTAGCCCATGTAAACTGTTGTCCCCATTCCTTGGCCAGATTTGGGTGCTCTGATGCGCCTGCTTCCCATACAGCTTTTGGGGATCATGGTGTAGACTATCAACAGGTTTCAAAATGTCTTTCCTTTGTATTGACCATGTAAGGGATTCTAAAGAGGGTGCATTGGGACAGCTCTGAAGAGCATCCCTCTCAAATGTGTCCTGTGGCTTGCTAGGATATCAGTTGCCTTCTTTTGTTAAGCTAAGGAACTTGAATGCCTTACCTAATCACTCAACTGGTGGTAAGCTCATTTTGTAAATAGGAAAGTGAATGTTAGAAGTGGCATTCATGGATGTTCAATGTTAATCAATAGACCGTAGTGGCCTGGATGCTGTAACAAGCAAAATTCCTCATTTCTGCCCTCTACCCTGATCCTGTCTCCCTGGCACACCTGTATGATCTTGAACCTGACCAATGATATTTGATTTCCCTCCCTCTTCTAATCCTGCGCTACCACCATTTTTCCAGAAATGAGATGTGGTGGCCACATTTTACTGTTGACATGATCCGCCTGAGATCAACATGAGCACAAACCTCATCAACTAGGTCTGCCTGGAGTGTAAATAGGACAGTGTAAATAAGCAGCTGTAATTAGTGTGAGTTGTGTCCTGCATCCAAGAGTGTGTCGTTCTGCATTCTCCTTTGTGGAAGTTTTTCTGTCATTAGATGATCCAGCCTGTTGATGTTTGGCTGGGAACAGTGCACACCTCCAGCTGTGCGGTGAGATAGCAAGAACTGGAAGGAAGGTTTATTGGGTTTAGTTAATGTTGGTATTTATTTATTTAGCCTCTCAGTGCCTAATAAGACTTTTCTCCAATTTTACTTAGCTATTAATTTCTTGTGAATTAGATTCTGGGAAGCAGTGAATTTGTAAAGCTCATTCTTTGAGTCACAATTTGAAGATAAAGGAAACTAAAAATATTATTTGGTGTTTGTAAACAGAAGTGTGGTCCCCTTTTCTATTTTCAGAGTTTGTTGACACTTTCAACAAAAACTTGAAATTCAATGTGAATGTAAATCCCATCCGTACAAGTCATAGGGCAAATGGCATCTCTTAGTTTGTCAGGTGGCTTCTTTGGAGTAGTTCAGTTTGGGATTGTGAGAAAAAGGGGTCTTTTGTGACAACCCCCCCCATGTTTGTTTTAACTTTATGAGTTTAGACTTTAGACTTAAAGAATTCCCCAAACACTCTAAAGAAACGTTAGAAACCTCTACTTTAACAGTACTCAGTTTTCTGTATTAAGCAGAAGCTGCCTGTACCTCTTGATCTCACTAGCTGATGTATAAAGGGCAGTGTGTTGGGTTGATTTTTTTTTTTCCTGACTTGCTTTTAAGCATTTTATACTGCATTCCAGAGTACTGTAGACTTAGCTATTTTCCTATGAATCTGTCATCCTGTTGACAAAGTGGACAGTGCTTTGTCCTGGGGTTTTCCTAGTAGCAGCTGCGTGTGCTACCTCACACAGAAGGTGAGTGCAGGTGGAGACGAGCCTCTTGACAGATTTCATGATGGCCTTTACTGTGAAGCTGAGCTCCATCTTCAGGCATGTTTCTGTTCTGAAAAGCAAGATGAAGGATGGTGCGCTGCCTTTCCCTATAGTGACTGCAGTGTTAAATCTTGGGTTTGACAAATGTTATCAGCTGATCCAGATAAAACATCCCTGTTTGGGGAACTTCAGCCCATGTTTCTATAAAAGAAAATACTTGAGGTTTTTGTATTACCTTGAATTCTTGCAGGCTAAATTCAGTGACACGTAATACAATGAGTTAGATTTGTTTGAATAGTTTATTTTTTTGCTGAAAAATTTCAATTTTGGCTCAATTTGATATGGGAAGAAACCCAAAGTATTTGGATTAGAACCAAATCTGATGCTTCACCCACAAGCACTTTCAACTCCTGCATTGGAGGCTTCCCTCCTGGACTGTGCGCTGCGGTACCAACCCATCTTTGCCCATTGTGCATTGCATAGCCTGTGTACGTGCAGAAACACTCCTAAAACAGTTAAAATCTTATCTCTCAGTTACCTTACCCCTGTGGTGATTTGGATCCCATTAATATGTTAATTAAACACTAGATGCTTACAGAACTGAAACATCACATTGTCTTTTGACTAGTTTGTGAAAGTGGAGCAGGAAATTACAGGCTTCCTAGCCAGGAACTTTGAGAGCTGGGTTGAAACCCAGTGACACCTGCCGAGCAGTGGAGGGACAGAGTACCTGCTCGCCATGCCTGCACTGTGGCATGCTGCTGCTTGTTTGTAGGTAGTGTTCATTGTCAATAATCTAAAGTTGTCCTCTGTATTTACCTGTACTAAAGTAACTGTAAACTAATGGAACCTACAAGAACTTTTCTGTATTTAGGAGCTTTTGTACAGCAAGGTCAAATGTCCTGAATGAAGGAAGACATGGTGTTACCCATACACAAGGGAAAAAAGCTGAAATGAGTTAACTGTTGTTGCGTTAGCTGTCTGTTGAATTGGGAAGCTGTGGCATAGATCTTAAATTTGTGTTCTCAAATGTGAATTGTAGTCTAATGCTGCTTTGTATAGACTGTAAGTGCTACGGATAGTCTCAGCACTGAACATGCATCGATACCTCGCAGATGAATGCAGCTTTTGTCCTAGGTTTCCCTATGCCTCAGCCAGGGTCTGAGTGCCAGAGAACTTGCTCATCTGTTTGCTAGCGAGATACTTCCTGCTTTTTCCTTTGTTGTCACATATCTTTATGTTTGAATTTGAAGTTTTACTACTGTTAATTTAAGTAAAATTTGTTCCGTGGATAAAATGGCATTGCCAGTGAAATCAACAGCCTCATTCATGTAGCTGCTGAAGTGACATTTGTGTTCTGTGTTCATGAACTTGCAATGAAGCCGTGTTTCTGTTAAGATACAAAGTGCGGCTTAGGCTTTATTTCTGTTTAATAAGGCTTTCTACCATTGATTAAATGAAGGAATGTATCTTTTTGAAGAGATTTATATTCTGTAAATAAACCTCGGTTGTAACAATAAAGTTGAGTTCTAACTAATGTGTCCATGTTGTTCATACTCAATTTGGAAATTGTCTCTTGTAGAATATGGAAATACAAGACTTTAAAGGATTGGAGCTTAGTGGTGATTGTTTGCCTAGCAAGTGCCCTGTCTTAGGTTTGATCCCTCACACTAGAGGAAAACCAAAGGTTTTCCAGAGTCAGTAATAAGGACTGGGGAGTGGTCTGCTTAGGAGAGTAGTTACTGAGCAGTCATGAGGCTGGAGATGGGATCCCAGTACCCACATAACAAGGCAGGTGCTCCACACACCTGTGACCCCAGCTCCCTGGGGCTTGCTGGCTCTCAGCCTAGCCAAGAAAGTGTGAGCCCAGGTTCAGAGGAACAGGTGAAGCGTGACAGGATACCTGTGGCTTCCTCATGCAGACATTCACCCGCATATGTTGTATGTGTAATTTTGTTTTCTTTTTTAAAAAGGTATGTAAATGTATATATGGGACAATTTAAGGTTTTCATTGTGTTACTGTTCTGTTGCTATGATAATATACCACAGCCAGAAAGCAACCTCAGAATTTATTTAGTCTTACAATTCCTGAGGGATAGACATTCATATGGGAATGCATGGTGGAGGTAGAAGGTGGAAGCTTGCTTGGCTGATCACCTTTTCCTTCCTTCCTTCCTTCCTTCCTTCCTTCCTTCCTTCCTTCCTTCCTTCCTTCCTTCCTTCCTTCCTTCCTTCCTTCCTTCCTTC